GCACAATCACTAATCAGCGAGAATAGATTGCTTTGGGGTCTTCCTCTTCTCCCTGGTAAGTCCAGTGTATTGATGGCAAAAATGAGGGAAGAAAACGCTGGTCCGTCAATAGGACCCCGCAAAACATGTCCTAACATTCTCCACCGACTACGGGCCACTTTTTCTGACAATGGTTCAGCATTGCAGCGTTTATACAATGTATCCATATTTAATATTATAACATCTGATTTTAGAACTACAAGGAGGAGTTAGAGAGCATCATTATCTCTTTGGTGAAATTAATTGTTTAAAAATTGTTACTTAACTGTAGCACGTTTTTGTTCGCTGTTGTAGTGTTATTACTTATTCTTATAACACTGTGGTAGTGTGGTAGTGTTATTTTTATACTCATATGCTAGAGCCTCTGAGAATATGCTCTGTAGCATAATTTATCCATTCACCTGAATTTGTTTATTGATAGAAAAATGGTAATGAACGATTCAGTATTTTATTTAAATGAAGGTAAATCACTCGTTTAAACAAATAAGTAATAAAACGACAGGGGGCATGGGCATCTTCTTGCTCTGAAAAAGACTGTATCAAGAACTTGAAAGTGTAATTTAAAATGGTTACTTTGCTGAGACGAAATGTCAAATCTGAAATTAAACAGAGGAATTTAATTCTCCCTTTGAATCAATCAAGCTAGATGATTTGTTGTAAATATTGAGATCAAACTATCAATTTACAGGCTATCGTCAAACATGTTGCAAGGCGTCATCTTCAGTGACATAAGCCTAAAAATTGTAAAAAGTTAGTAAAACCCAAAATTCCTTTAAAAATCTGAACACTCTTAAAACGGTTGTATAATAATTAAAATTAAGATGTTAGGAGTAACGGAAGGCCAAAAAGATTTATAGTGTTTATTCCCAAAGGTTTTAAAGTCTTGAGTTGTTGAATATATTTATGTTCACGAACTTCTAAAGTTTTAGGACTAGAATTATCAATAATTGAAACATTAAAAATTTTGTTAAAATCCTCCCTTTGTTTAAAACCATGATCCAACAAATGTAAGCCCAAACTATATTCATCACTTGTTTCATCTACCTTATCACCATTTAAAAGTTTATAATATTTGACCCTATGTTCTCCAGTTCTAACCCGTAGAGAGCGAGTAGTGCGGCCGACGTAAGCTTTTTTACAGAAACTACATTGGAACAGATAAATGATGTTGTAACTCAGGCAGTTTCCAGGGGAAGCTTTAACCTTCTCGCCGTTAACTTTGAATTCATGGGCCATGGCTGCCTTTGACAAGTTCGCAGCATTTGCATCTTGGCATATGGCATTTGCTGGTTGGACCATGTTTAGCTACTAAAGCAAGTTCTTTCAATTTGACAAGGCGAGATTTTAGGCTTGGTCCTGTTTTCTTGGTGTAACTGAATATTTTCTTCCTAGGCGTGAAAGCTGTTGAGGAGGTCTCTTGGGATGTTTCAACAGTATCACTTTCACTGAAACTCCTTGTTCTTGAGAGGTGTTCTTCATACTTCTTAGTCACAGACACCAAATCATCATCACTACCATAAGTAGATATGACCCTGATTGGAAGGTGTAAAGATGTCTGGTCATCAGGAGATTGAACTTTGCGTAACAGTGATCTTGTTGAATTGAGAACCTTATTACTAATGTTCTATACCATTTTCCTAGGGTAACACGCAGCAAGGAAGGCTTTTTTGAGGTTGTCGATGTGTCCTTTGAGGCGTTCTTGGCAGTTGATGATCCTTCTGAGTCTAAGGCATTGAGAGTATACGATACCGGAATAGATATGGTTTGGGTGGGAGCTTTTAAAGTGTAGGTATGAACGAGAGTCCGTTTTCTTTATGAACAAATCCGTTTGGAGGGAGACCAAGGAATCGAAAGTGAACATTATGTCAAGGAAAGATACGTATTTACCAGGATCTTCTATTTGGTACTCATCAATGATTAGGCCATGGGGGAGGAGTGCTTTGTTGACATCTGCAATCCAAATTTTTAACTCATCTGTAGTTCCCTCAAACAAACCTGCTCCGTCGTCAATGTAACGCCTGGCTGATACGATCTTCTTCATGAGCTCTGGGTTACTTTAAACACATTTGTTCATTAGGTAGTAGACTGCTATGTTTGCGATTTGGACACATAGTGATCCACCCGTAGGGATACCAATGAGCTGTATGAACCAATTTTGATCGAACACCCCAACAGAGGATCGGAGGCTTAATTCCACCAAAGTATCATCATACAATATAGAATTACTACTATACTACTATATATATATTTTTTTAGGTCGAGGGCGCTCACTCTACCTCCCCGGATTAGCAAGGAGGCTACGTCCGCCTTGTGGCTAACGTCTGATGGAGCTCCTTTGGACTGCAGGCTTTGTACCGTTTGCTCTGCTTGGCATGGGGTTCGCAGAGCCCGGTACGTCCAAAAGACATAGCATAGTTATGACCCGGTGGATCGGCGATGACCCTAAGGTTATCTGCCATAATGATCCGTCATCGAGAGACTCTATAGAACCCGTTAGGAGTTAGGTGTCGAAACACCCTCCCAGAAAAGGTAGTGCGTTACTTCGAGGAACTACCACCGCATTATGCTAGCGGACCTGCACTGGTGATCTTCGAGGTTGTGTCGTGCTTTTAGTATTTAGGAGGATCGAGTTGAGATGATATTAAACTCGAACCCTGGTGTGTTGTTCCTTTGGTTTATCTTTGGCACTCCTGTCTCGCGCTCTCCTGGAGTGCTGATTTTGGTCCTTTGTATAACCGTAGCGCTAAGATTCTAGTAATGGAGTTGCTGACGGGCTATCTTGTTTGCGTATAGTCGTTCAATTGCTACGTGTATCAGTGTTCTCCCTCTTCTCACTCCAGAGTCCAGGGGTTCCTGGTTTTCCTGTTTTTCCAGGTGACCAGACTGGAGGACTTTTTGCTCTGAAAAAAGACTATCAAGAACTTGAAAGTGTAATTTAAAATGGTTACTTTGCTGAGACGAAATGTCAAATCTGAAATTAAAGTATCATCATACAATATAGAATTATATGGTTAATAACTTCATACAATAGATATATAAGAATCTAATACGTAGTCAATATCAATAAAATAATATAGAGACTGTGTCCTTCTCAATGACTTCTCCTTCCTGTGAATCTTTCAACTTGATGCAGCTCTCACTAACCGTACAAATGCATTCTATAATTAACTGCAGATCTGATGGTTCTTGCTTGGATGCAGCATTGATAACTGCCCGCTGTTTCTTGATCGTGACTTTGGGACAAAGAGTGCAAATGTGCAAAGGCTCGCCTGTAGAAAATGTGACGAGTTTAAATTTCTTAAAAACAATCAACTAATTTATTGATTCCCTTGAATTAATATTCCTACTGACAGGTAATTCGTCATATTGATTTGTTCAATAAGGTGCTAAAAGCAATAACTAACATACAACATGCTTAACTTCTTACGGAACAATCTTAAATCACCTTTATCACTGAACCCCAGCTATAAAAACGCCTCTAGTAGGAAATTCCGTACTTTATAATTATCGAAGCCGACAAATTTAGCTTCTACTCGGTCACAGTCAAAGTTGCTATCTGCATTATCACCTGTAAAAGATGTATTATAACACGAGAGAAATATAATATAATTGAATTTCTACTAATGTGTGAAATTCTATTGTCATAATCATATACTTGCGCTTTCAAACATCTCGGTTATTGAGTTGAGACACAGTTAATAAACTGCGGAGTGACTAAAATGCTATACAGCAAAAACAGAACGCTCCAACCAAACACTCCACCTACTGATCCTAACCACCCTAACAACTCTCTAGCTCTCTCTCTTCAACCCTCATTCCCTCACTCCTCTTGGTGCACAAAACCATTCTAACCTATGTATGTCCCCCTGACGGGTTCCACAAGCCCAACGGTACATAGTTAGACGAAAAACAGAGAAGCCTTGATTGCCAGATCAAGGACTGCATCAGTAGCAGCGAAATACGGATATACCTTCTCCCTTACAGTCAGCGAGCTGACAACTATCTGACTGTGTCTTTTAGGCCTTGTCACACCACCTTCGCTATTGCATCTGCTCGCCCGTATTCACTGACACATGCCACACCTGGGTTTAGTATGAAGATGTACGCATATTCACCCAAGATGCGGAGATGCCTCAGTTTAGCGAGTTGAGATACAACAGCAAACTCACAGGAGCATGGATCAGAATCATCAGTTACCAACCTGACACCGTTTCGGGGCTTTAATCGCAATACGGTTTCCTGTCAGGCGCCCCGGCAGTCCATCCTTGAACCACCATCTGATCCGAGAGTCACTTGAGGAGACCCGTTAGAGCTCGCAATTGGCGACGAGATAACGTTTATGGTACCTCTAGATGTTATAGTGAACTCTCAAGCTCCAACCTTCCTGAACTCCCACTCCCTCTTTCTCGATAACAAGTAGATCCATCTGGAACAGTGGGCTGCCTCTTTCCCACTGTCCCGTACCAGCTTCTTCAGCTCTCTTCCCCTAAAACCAATCCTCCTCGCAGCTCTCTCCAAACTCTGCGCAACCACTCCCCTAGCTCCAACTTCGACTGCGGCATTATAACAGCACCAACCTTTCGCCTGAATCTCAGCCTGCAGACCGCTGTATCGGTCGAGCTTGTACTCGTGCGATTCAGCGATCCGCTCTTCAGATGGTACTGTTAGCTCCCACCAAATAACTGTCTTTGCCGACCTTGAGAATATCACAAGGTCCGGCCTCAACCGTGTTTCCACAATCTCACTGGGAAACTTAAGCTGCCCCTCAAGGTCTGACAGCACTATCCAATCCCGATACCCACTCAGGATCCCAAAACCACGACTCTCCTTCCGGTCATCTGTACCTGCTTTTCTTTTCCCAGCAGGAACAAAATCAATGAACTGCCTTCCATCGCCGGCCTTGTTCTTATAAGTGTTCACTCGGCGATCACAATGGAAGACAACCTGTTCAGAGATCTGCTTCAGAACCTTGTCGTGCCGCCATCTATACCTTGACTAAGGGCCACCTTACACCCAGCCAAAATGTGCTGAATGGTGCCCATCCTCTCCTCACATAACTTGCACTTCCCATCCTCATCTTCACTCCACTTGGAAACCATAGAGGGGGTTAAGAGGGTGCCGTACACTGCACTTAGCATGAACCCAATAAGTGAGTCACCATACTTAAAAAGTGTATGCCAGCTCAAATCCGTCTTCATTACGAGCTCTCTCCACTCACCCCACCTGCTCTGCATCTCCAGAGAACCTACTTGCACCTCCCTCTCTCTTTCAATGTTCTCCTTCACTCTCAGCATAACCTCCCTCTCTCTTTCCCGTTCATCCATCCTCTCCCAAGGTTTTTTCCAGTCACCAAAACCGATGCCAACTCTTTTTTGAGGTTGCACCATCCCTCGCACCGATTCACAGACCAAATCTCTTCTGGCCTCTTCCAGTTCTGTCTCAGGCCTCCAAACTCTACCAGAACGAACTTGGGGCTGGACTGCTTTAATCAGGTCATCCTTAGATGTCTGATAGGATTGCAACAGTCGACACTTCTCTATCTTCCATGTATCTGTCAAACTGCTCACCGGTAAGGCCACACTGGATGATTGACTGAACAGACAAAGACCACTCAGAGTGTGCCCCACCCCTAACCACTTCCTGAGGAAACTATTGGTATTCTGTTCCCATCTGGTAACTGTTGTGATCGGAATATCATAGATGGCAAGAGGCCACTTCAGTTTTGGAAGGACCATGTACTGATATCCCCAGCACTTCTGGAGTCCAGTAAGGGAACTTTCATCGAGTCTCCGAAGAAAAGTGTTAAGGTCGACCTTGGTTGAGTCGATGACTGATTTGTCATTTCCTTCCACTCTTATCCATCTCCCAAGGAATTTTATCGGCTTCTCTGACACATTCGGAATCACCTCACCACCCAACTGCAAACACACCTCTTCTCTCTCCACCTCCTCCTGTCCTACCACTACCTCCTCAACCCACCTCACAGCCACTCCCTTCTTCAACACCAGTGCTCTGGACTTGGAGGACTTTAACTTAAATCTGGACCAGTCCACGTACTTCTGAAACACATTGAGTAACGTTTGCATATCCTCTGCACGTGCGGTCGTCAGACAGCTATCGTCCATAAACAGCTTCAGAGTTGGTATCGGTGTGTCATCCTTGATGTACTCAATGCTTCTCGGAACCTTAGACTTTAGGTCACCTGTAAAAGATGTATTATAACACGAGAGAAATATAATATAATTGAATTTCTACTAATGTGTGAAATTCTATTGTCATAATCATATACTTGCGCTTTCAAACATCTCGGTTATTGACATTATATAACGCAGTCAAAAATTTAAAATATATAATATCTGTAAACATATTTATATCATAATGTGTGAGATTACCGAAGCATTCCCTGTGTTTTCCCAAACATTTTTAATTGTAAAGCGATTCGCAGCATCCAGATGTCTCCATGTATCATGAATTCGGCTGTCATCTATCTTCGTGCGTACGTTTTGGAACAACTTTTCCAGAATATTCATATCAGATATAAATATTAGTTGAAGATATGATCTTCAACTATTCGTAACCAAGATCTAAGTCATTTTTTGACTGGAGAGCGAACAAAGGAAAGTTTGTTAATTAGTTTTGATAAATCATACTTAACATTGTACTATATATTAGTAGAGTGATTGGACGAGTTGTTGCACTTGCCTTTGTGTTGCTTCAACCCCCTCCTGGCACATAAACTACACATTCTGGAGTAGCTTTTGAAGGTCACTACCTTATTGGAATTTTCTGCAACCAGCATGATATGGCCTGAAAAAATGTTCGAATAAATACCCGTGAATCATAGTTGTTAAGTTCGTCGAAAAAATGCGAAAAGTTCGTCCAGTTCGGCACCTTTTAAAAATTCGTGAAAATTCGTGAAAATTCGTGAAAATTCGTTGCGTAAATTTTCTTGGCATATGTTTTGATTTTATAATGAATGGCTTAGGTGCGATCACTATTACACTTGTAAACAAATGATACAGTTAGATAGTTATACATACTTGTATTGAAAAAAAAACTAGATCAACAACAGATCATGACTAGTACTTCAATATAAACAGAGCTGGTTCACAGATTACAATTAAGCATCAATTATAGCAACAGCTCGCAACTTATCATTGTTATCTAAATAATCTATAGCATATGTGATCTTAGTGATCTTAGTGCCAGCACTAGTGCTCTCTGTCCAGATTGCTGATTCGCTAGCTATGTCGTTCAGAAGCTTTAAGTTGGAGTGAACGTAAACCAGCTTTCTGGCCTTTTCTGTTTTTAGTTTATTTCTCCTTTTTGAGTACACATATTCAAACTGGCTCCAATTTGTTTCGCAGGCACTGGCGCTCGTGACCTGGCTGAACAAGATGATTATGGAACTTGGCAACCTCTGGCCTACTCAAGAGACCTCTATGTTGCCTGAAATGCAACATCTCACTCATAGTTCGGTTAAACTTCGTCTATTTCGTTAAAAAATTCGTCCAGTTCGGCACCTTTTTAAAGTTCGTCCAGGACGTCCGTAACAACTATGCCGTGAATAGTAATGATAAATAACAAATCCTGTGAGAGTTTAATTTTGAAAATTTTGAGATGCCCCCTGATTTGCAATACCAGAAATTAAATTCTAATAAGAGACCCTCCACACCTGATATCGGAACAGAGATTTCCAGCTCGCTGAATAGCTCCAAGAAGTTTCCGATGGTAAATTTACCAAGATGTTCAAAAGTTCGTATTGTGCCGCATTTTGTGCAAGCTTTAGGCCTCAGCCGATGTTTCTGTTTGAAAGTGAATTGAGCTTCTAAATCGCTCAACATGGCTCTGATTCCTTCCATGACAATTTCGTTAGTATATTCACATTCGATTCCTTGCATAGTGAGAAATATAGTTTAAAGGACGCTGTTATAGCAGCAATTTCTAATGTATATTATGGTGCAGGTTCTGTACTTCGCATACCCTTTCTATACTTAGCGTTTTCGATAGCTTTGCGCACAAATAAGATGAGAGTTTTGTTTTTCTTATTATCGTTGTGTAATTCAGATATAATTTTAAAATGTGTTACTGTCACTTGTCTTGGCTAATGGACCTTCATGCATTGACATGATGGAATTTGAATATATTGAATTACCTATATCTTTAGGGTTGAGTGTTTACTCATTTCCAAAAATATTCTTCCTTTTCCTGTTAATGATAATATTTACCTGATTTTTTATCCTTTTCATCATGTTGTATTGAATTACACTCGCAATACTAAGAGCAATGTATGCAAATTCTCCTTTACTAACAGGTTGTCCATACAAGAGTAGGTTTACAAGTTCTATAAGATCATCAGCGGGAGATTGGTTGCGGATAATTTCATTGTTAAAGGTACCAAAAACCTCATTCTCCATGGCAAGTGCCTCATTTGTAACCTCATTAACTGTGTCATCCAAGGTTTCTTCACTGAAATGAAGTTGGGCTAGACCGTCAAATAGTTTTCTGTTGAGAAAAATAAACCTTTTTTTCCATTAGCATTTGACACAACCGTTAAATGTTCGCTGCAGTGGGTTTTTAACAGTTTTAAGATTGTGAACTCTGAGCAGGGTAACAGTTGAGATTTTATCTTTTCCAAGCCGATGCATAGTTGCTTAACTGAGCAAGAAAACATATCAACAGCATGTTCTGAACTAAAAATAATGCGATCACTCTCCTCAATGATATAAATCATCTTGTGTACAGTGTAGGGCAGTTATTGATAGTAAAGCAGCGGAATTATTCGAGTTTATAGACGGTGATTTTAGGCTCAAAACTGAGGCCGGGGAGGAAGAGGCCCCAATTCTCACCGGGGTTGATTCACTTGCTTTCTGTGAATTATCAGCTTTTGATGGAAGAAGCGACGTGATCCCCATCGATTTTCCCTTGCGCCTCTTAACAGGTGTGTGCATTTTTGCTATCTTTATTTTTAAATTAAGGGTTGTTAACGAATGTTGCACGTTGCAACGTCTGTGATACACAGCTTCGTTTGCATTGAGGGTCCCAACGATGCTGTCTTATAGATCAAAGTTCCCGTCCCACCCCAGGAGGAAGAGATTCGGAGTTATCCTCAGGCCTTTTTTAATGAGATAAGATTACCAGCAATTGTCTTTTAACCCTATCAGTGCCGCGTCACCTCCGAAGGTGGAGATAACACGTATTGTGTTATCAGGGGACACAGGGAGCAAAATGGAACTGTTCGAGGTGTACCTGTGCATTTTTGCTATCTTTCTTTTTAGGGTTGTTAACGAATGTTGCACATTGCAACGTCTGTGATACACATCTTTGTTTGCAATGAGAGTCCCAACGATGCTGTCTGATAGATCAAAGTCCCCGTCCCACCCCAGGAGGAAGAGATTCGGATTTATCCTCAGGCCGTTTTTAATGAGATAAGATTACCAGCAATTGTCTTTTAACCCTGGGAGCTCTGGACAGGGCAAACAAGGTCGCCACATTCCTCCTGAAAAAATTGAGGAGAGTGGTTTGGATTATTATTGCTCCCCCCCCCCCCCCCCCCCCTATAATGAGAAGTACGTACGGTACCCGGCTTAAAGTACGTACGGTACAGCACTTTTTAAAGGTACGTACCGTACAGGCCCTATAGAGTACAGCCTTTTTCGGAAAAAAAATTAAACTTTTTTAAAGTCAGTGGAGTACTTTCAATGTTCGTTTAGTATTATCATAGTTTTATTTGAGGTAGTAGTCGAAGAGAAACACAATTGTTAAGATAATAAATTAACAGTCATAATATATAAATATTAAGAAACTGTTTGTAATATATAATTATTTAGAAACTGTTGTAATAAAAAACTAGTGTTTATCTACTCCAATAATGACATTTTAATGTGCTTATTGGAGTAGTTGTGGACACAACAAGAAAATTGAGAATAATCTTGTGCGAGGGTAGGGACCCAGATGTAAATTGGGGTAAAATCGCCGTGTCGGGGAACTTCGTCACTATTTTTCAAATAATCATTTTACTGTTTTGAATTGTTAGGAGATCGAGTTTGTGTATAGTATTGTGTTGAACAAATGGTTATAAAGGTATTCCTATTCAAAAATAAACGTTTACTATGTTAATTAACCTCAGGCAACATGAAATAATGCAATAAAGTGGCTAAAACTAAAAAACTTCCCGCTTGCATATTTCCCATATTTTACAATTATATCCTTAATAAATTCTGTGTGACATCATTAGCATTTGTCCTGTTCATTTAAGGGCGAATTTAGTTAGCCATGATGCACACAACTGATATTATAAAGTTTTCAAATTTGTGTGTGGCGAAGTTACCCTCTTCTAACCTTATCTGTTCGGCGAAGTTTGGCGCGAAATTCGCGCGCGGCTGGCGAAGTCACGCACGTGTATTGACTATTGGCGAAGTTCGACTACATTTCTACTTTATCCCGGCGATGTTACCCGCAGCATGGCGATGTTACCCCGGCGACCAAATTGCCCATTGTAACACGCAGGCTAGAGCTAGATAAGTAAAATTGGCAGGCATATCAAGGAAAAATAATTGAGTTTCGAGTGGTATGGTGCTTAGCACCGAATATGGTATAGTTTCAGAATGGCGAAGTTACCCCATATTGCAGGGTAACTTCGCCCTGATTTCAGTGGCACAAATCTAGCTGACTATTTATGGCTGGCTGATGTGGTTCATACGAAAACATTTGCTTTACCAATCCTGTTCATATGAGCTATAAACTTTTTCAAGTACTCGTGTCGTATTTTCTAAATAACATGAAATAGCTGTAAAACATGGCGAAGTTCCCCCATTCTAGTTTCTCAGCAAGCTTAAGCTTTAGCCTAAGCCTCCTTTTATTTAAAACATACTCATAATCTCTGAAGTTTGTTTCGCATAACGAAGATGCGCTCAAGATGGCAAAGACTATATCTGCCAACTTTTTTAATTGAAAACGTTCTGGCGTGGAGAATTATCTCCAATATACCTGGGGGTTGAGTAGCTTCATTGGGTCAGAGTCTGGCAATAGATAAGGCTTCACGCCTTCCTTATCATAATTGAGGCGATAGTTATCGAGTTGATGAAGTGTGGCCGCTTCCGGAAGCCTGAGAAGTTTACGAACGCTCCTAAACCTGAAAAAAATTATGCATGTAATTATATGAATACCATAAAATCAAATATTTGTTTATGTTAACTTGTTAATCTTCAGTTTATGCTTAAAAACTAGAGTATCTAGTATTTGCAACTAAACAAGTTTTGATTCACAAATTTATTGTATTGTAGGAAATTCTATAATTATTACTCACCACTATCTTGGAATACAGGATAATTAATGAATGTGGGGTTAAGTAAGCAAGCCACTGAATGTACTGGAACATGAGCAAACTCCAATCTATCACTCAACACGCTAAAATGTCCTTCTTGTGGGGATCTTTGATCAAAGTGTCTTTAGTTCAAGCCTCCTGAATGAGGAGAAACCTGTTGTAAAGATATCCTAGAACAGGGTTAATGTGACCGTCTGCCATCCTTACCATTTCAACTGGAAGATTAAATATGTGGAGCACGTACTCGATGTCATCCCAAAAGGACTCGTCCATGATCATATTCTTCATATCATGAGTGCGGAGAAGGACTTTGATGTTAGGAAAGCAAAGGCATGGGGGGCCTGTCATCAGTTAAAGACAACCTGGAAGTCTGGAATGCGCAGGGACTTAAAGATCCGTGTCTTTCGAGCAACGGTTGAGTCCGTACTCCTGTACGGCTCTGAAGCTTGGACGATAAGCCAATCCATGACTAAGCGGATTAATGGATGTTACACTAGAATGTTCCGGATGGCCTTGAACATACGTTGGCCACAAATCATCAACAACAGTGATTTATACGGCAACATCCCCAAGCCATCAGCGATGATAGCCTCCAGAAGAATGAGACTGTCTGGACATGTAGCCAGGCATGACGACCTTCTGGCAAACCAACTTCTGTTCTGGGACCCTCAGCATGGATACAGGAGACCGGGGAGGCCCCACCTTACGTTTCTGGACATGCTAAAGAAGGACACCAGCCTTTCCTGTGTTGAAGAGATAAGATCTGTTATGCTTGACCGCGACGTGTGGCGAGGAATTGTAGCTGCTCGGACCAAGAAGCCGACTTAAGTCAGTCAGTAAGTCATATCATCGTGCTTTGACTTGAGTGCAATAGTACCTAGCCTCTCCCTGCAAGACTTAGCCGTTTCTGATACAAATAACTTCTCCTATTGTGTATGTTTCAAGGTATTATTAGTCTGGGGATAGGCTTCCTGATTTGAAGGGTCCCTGTCGGGAGACACCCAGCTGGACCTTTCTTACAATGTATCCATATTTAATATTAGAACATCTGATTTTAGAACATCATTCTCTCTTTGGTGAAATTAAATTGTTTAAAAATTGTTACGTAACTGTAGCACGTTTTTGTTCGCTGTTGTAGTGTTATTCTTATAACACTGTGATAGTGTTATTTTTATACTCATATGCTAGAGCCTCTGAGAATATGCTCTGTAGCACAATTTATCCATTCACCTTTTTTTTAATCAAGACACTTATTTTACTTGTATTCCAACAGCCACATTGTTACACAAGTGCAACCAGCCAATTACAGGAAGCCGAAGGATTTATTTGGCCAGTGACGGTTAAGGTAGCGTGTACCATATTTTATTCGCCCGAGACTTTGCTGCAATGTGCAGCTCCTCATTTAACCCTGACACACGATTTCTCGAATATTCGGCTGAGTAGACAGGGGGGCTGCATAGACCACTCATGATCCTTAGCTGAACGTCAACGACGCTCACCCCACGACCAGGCAGACAGTTATATTTGAACTCGCAACCTTACGATTGTAAGGCTGGCGTTCTAACCATCTGCGCT